TGAGGTTAAAGCTCTTCAGTGAGAGCAGGCTTATCACTTATGTTTTTGCTGATTCTTGTATCACCACCAATAGTAAGTTTAGCTAGACAAATGTAGAAAGTATATAGTAGATATAGTTATAAGAAAGAGAGACTACAGAATGAAATGGTGAGGTACAAAGGTTATACCTACATGAGTTTGAGGTTGTTCTGTTATTCACAACTGCAAAGACATGAATGAGTGAAAGTACTTATGCCAAACGAGTATTAATAAAATGAGATAGGTCTTTATATCAAATGAATATCCTGCTTGAGAAATCCTTCTCTAGCCCTTCCATAGCCATAATGTATATTTGCATAAGTCGTTTTTCTTTTCTGTCCAGGTTACAGAGTAGAATTGGGGTTTACTACAGTGTGTAAGAATTTTCTTGCATGTTGTACAGTGGTAAGCCCCGATATATTAGGAAAATGAAGGATTGGGCTGAACAGAAGCTGATATGATTCAGATACACACACGCAGCAGATAAACTAAATAAAAAGGTGCCATTTTAATGTCTTTTTTCAGATTAGAACTTCATTTTTAATAAGAGGCAAAACATCAATTTAATAACTGATTTTTCATTAATTTTATCTTTTGTTTGAGAAGGATACAACATTTGCATGTTATATTTTTAAATACACAATATGGTAACATTACATTTTGAATGAAGAATGTCAGTTTTGGGGAATAGGTTGTGAATTTTGTCTGTAAAAACTCTCTTTTAATGTGTACTGAATCCATTCTTAAGGGGCTCATGATGCATGTGATTCACGTTAACTTTCTGATCACAAATATACATGTTCATATGCCTGTTTTTCTTGTGAAATGAGCGGATGTGTATAAAGTTTTACAAGATTCACAACTACATGCAACCCCAAACTTTAGATCACAATTAAACCCCACTCTATGGCGATGGCTACAATAGAAAGATTACAGTAGCACAGCTGCTCCAATGCTGCCACTCTAAGCCAACAGGAGAGAGCTCTCCCATCAGCTTAATTACCCTAGTCCCTGCGAGCAGAGAAGCTCTCCCGCCAACATAGCACTATCCACACCAGCGCTTAAGTCAGTTATGTTGCTCAAGGGTGACTAATACACACCCCTGAGCAACATAACTTATGTTGGCTTAAGCTGTAGTGTAGCCATAGTCTATATGATGTAGCAATGGCTAGACAAATGAAATGCATCAAGACACTACTTTTTCAAAGGCATTTCTCTAACTGATGGTGTTGATCCATAATGGGTTCATCTACAAAAGTGAGTGATTCAGAGAGGATCAGATGTGACTGAGGTAAAGAGACATAGAATAAGACGTAAAATGGGGAGACCGGAAGGCTTAAGAGAGTTAAAGAGTAACCATGGATGAATAGTTTTAACACTGGAAAGAGATCGTGGAGATACATTTCCAAATGAGCTGAAGCCTACCCTCCACTTTTGTGGTTGTAATTTGTACTTGCAAAAATTGCACAGCCATTTCAATTGTGGGTTCAAGTCAGGTAGTTAGGGGCACAAATTCTCTGATTTCTCGCCTGCAATTGATTTTGTGGCACAAGATGAACACAAATTGTACAGGTGTCAATTGCACCTACCAAACAGAGGCTGCTCCCAGCGCTTTTGAAAATTTCACCCCATCCAGCCCAGGGG